TGTGGTGTATGCGTGTGTATGCGTGTGTGTGTGTGTGTCTGTGTCTGTGTGTCTGTGTGTCTGTGTCTGTGTGTGCGTGTGTGTCTGTGTCTGTGTCTGTGTCTGTGTGTATGTGTGTGCGACTGCATGTTGTCGTTTTGGCATGTGCACTCCCATGTGCCCACAGTCATTTCCTGGCATCTAATCTCGGTGCTGCCTGTGCATGACCTCTTGTTGGTCGCACTCTGCTGCACACACACACGCACACACCAGGGCCAACTCGTCGCGTCCTTCATCCTCCTGTCCATCACGTGCGTGATCCGTTGGCCTGCGCACACGCATTCACGATCACACAGCTGCACTTGTCACCCACTCACACACACACCTGCAATGCATGTGTGCCCATCCGCACTTCTCACAACCCCCCTCCCACACACACACACACACACACACACACACACACACACACACACACACACACACACACACACACACACACACACACACACACACACACACACACACACACACACACACACACACACATTCTCCGCGTGCGCTGCAGCGTGTCGTACCTCACGATTGGCAACGCGATGAAGCACATGATCGACGGCTACAGCCGCGCCCACCCGCCGTCCAACACAGACGGCGCCCTCCTCTGCCTCTGGCGCCGCATCCCAGACTCTCTCGGCCTCGAAACCGTACGCTCAGCGTAAACCCGCCACTGCGTATTTGTGTGTGTGTGTGTGTGTGTGTGTGTGTGTGTGTGTGTGTGTGTGTGTGTGTGTGTGTGTGTGTGTGTGTGTGTGTGTGTGTGTGTGTGTGTGTGTGCCTGCCTGTCTGTCTGTCTGCATGTGGAGTTGTAACTGCGACTTAACCCACGTGTTTCTTTCATCTCCATTTCTCGTTCGTTTTGTCCCCTTCTCAACATTGAGCGCTTGATCCTCGCAACACGCAAACACCAGGCCCAGAACCTGCTGCTGTATCTCGGGTGCTTTGGCCTCGTCTTCATCATCGCCATCTTCAACCCAAAGAGTTTTCTGCTCGTGTTGGAGGTCGTCACCTCCCTCGCCCTCAACATCGAAGCCGGTGCGTGTGTGTGTGTGTGTGTGTGTGTGTGTGTGTGTGTGTGTGTGTGTGTGTGTGTGTGTGTGTGTGTGTGTTTATCTTTTCCCTTGCCTCTCAATAATGCTTTCTTCGTAAACCTCATTCCACCCGCACACGTACACACACACACACACCACCACCACCACCACCACCACCACCACTACCCACGACGTCAACCCACACGGCAGGAGCGGGCGTTGGCGTGATGTTCTACGTTGCGCGCAGTCTTCAATCAGATGACGCCATTCCAACACCGCTGTCACGTATATGGGACGTCGCCTGGGTCCCCATCACCATCTTCTTCCTCGCTGCAGGTGGAACCGCGTTTTGCCCTCACGAAGGAGAAAGAGAGAGCGAGAAAGGGAGCGTGTGTGTGGGTGTGTTGCTGTGTGTGCGTGTGTGTGGGTGTTGAACATATGCACTCACACACAACTGCGCCCATGCACTCACACACAAATGCACTCATGCACTCACTCACAAATGTACAAACGCGCGTCCAAACGCTCAGTTGGGTATGATGTGGTGACGACGCTGCTTGAGTATGCGGGCACCACCGCAACTGGTGTCGTCTGCGCCATCATCGCCATCGTCCTCGTGGTAATAACACTCTCTCACGTGGCAAGCCATGCATGCATTCACGAAGAGGCGGCATTTGCATATGCTTGTTTTGTGCCATTCCAGTCATGCCAGCATTCTTGAGGTCCTTGCTTTGTCATGTAACTTCGCACTGTCTTCGTTCCCTTGTACATCCACTTTTGTGTGGAGCATGCGTTGGGGGGCTGCAAATAACGCGACTGCTCCCGTCACGCGGTGCTCATTGCCACCCCGCCCCGCCCCAAAACAACAACAAAACAACAGTCGGACGGATTCTCACACCAATCCCCTCTATTTTGACAGATCTTCACGGCGCTCAAGTGCTATTACCGCTCCTGCACGATGGAGGGAATTATTGGGTGCGTTACGACCATGCCATGTCGTGTCACATCACATCACATCACAACACGACTTCTTGGTGACAGTTGTGACAACCATCACGCTCTTCGTGTTCGGTTTACCCAACGCGTGCTGCGTTTGTGCTGCCACTTGTTGCAAGTTTGCCGCCTAACATACAAAGCACAAGTGCAACCGCAGATATCTCACACACAGGTGACTCACCACCCAACCTCACCATCACCTCACCCTCTCCTCACCCTTCTTCCTCTCTTCCTCTTGCCATTGCTCTCTCCTCCACTTTTTCTCCCCTCTACAACCACCACTGCCACTGCCACCAGCGTGAGCCCGGCGCTGCTCGGACACTCGCGTATCCTGAACGAATCAGAGGACGAGGCGTGGGCCATCGACAGCTCAAGCCATGACAGCGACAACAGCGGCGGCGGCGGTTTTAGCGGCCTTGTTGCCACGGAGGACGCACATGTGTTTGAAGTGACGCTGCCGGAGGATAGCGTGACGAAGCGTGATGCGAAACGTAATGGGGCTGGTCACGACAGGTCCACGCCAACGCTCAACGAGAACGGCGCCACGCTCGAGGACAAGCTCCTTGCCAGCAGAACCACAAGCACGTCGGCAGCCGCTGATGACCAGCACGATGGCAATCACCGCGAACACATGTCAATACCACCCCTGACTCGAGAAAGGGGAATAGAAGCAGACACGGACGGAAGCAGCAACGTTGTCGAACATCAACACGCAGATAACACCACACAGCAGCGGTTGCTGGACTTTGAGGATGGTGATAATGTAGAGTGAAAGTGAGCTGTGGTGGAGCCATGTGCGGTTTGTTGGATAGCGGGTGCTGTTGGGATGGTGGTGATGCTATGGGTGTGAGCACACGGAAGTGTTTGGTGATCATCGGTGTTGTACATATGATGAGACACAACAAGCCGGGGAGAAGGTTGCCGTATTTGTCGTGCTTGGGTGATAGCTGTTGTCGTCATCACATCACATCACTGCTTTTCGTCGTTCGAACGAAACAGAACAGTGTGACCTTGGATGATTAGAACGCAAACCTCTGCATGTTTTATTGACACGACACGCACGCACATGAGCATGCAACCCGGCACACCACATACAAAGCACAACGCAACACAACACTACCGTCCACATTCAGAGCTCTTTGTTACACTCATGACAAACTAGAGTCAGAACAACAGCACACAAAGCGAAAAGTCGAGTTCACACACACACACACACGCCAGTCATTCCTTGTTCTCCTCGTCCTCCTCAGCGTCTGGCAGCCTGAAAAAAGCGCATGCGTTTCGAAAGGGAAAGGGTGAGCGCTTGTGTCTGTCTGTCTGTCTGTCTGTGTCTGTGAGTGTGTCTGTGTGTGTGTGTGTCTGTGAGTATGTCTGTGTGTCTGTCTGTGTCTGTGTCTGTGTGTGTCTGTCTGTCTGTCTGTCTATCTGTCTGTCCGTATGTGTGTCTGTGTGTGTGTGTGCGTGGTGTCTGTGTGTCTCACGAAAACGGCCGCGTGTATGGAGACGCCTCAGCGCATACACACCGCCACCATCAACATCATCACGAACACCACCGCCATGTCATACACACGTGAGCGGGGAGATATCCGGCACATTGAGACCCGCCGCCTCCAACGCCGCGATTGCACTTTCCATTGCCTGTTCGTCATCGTCACGCCATTCGTCACCATAAACAAGACATCGTGTGGGCAGGGCGATCGGTGGTGGTTTGGGTTGTTGTTTGTAGCAGTGGTGGCGTTGGTGGGGTGTGTGCACGTGCCAGTATGCAGTGAGAAAATGTGGCTGGGAAACAACAGACAGTGGAGCAACGCCATCCGCCACTTCCCGATGCAACACACAGCATAACGCAGCACAACACACGTGGAGGTGTCACCTTTGCAATGTCAGGGTTGCGCTCTGGAATGTGCGGGAACCAGACGGCAGCCTGCACCGCACCAACAGCAACGGCGACAGCAACACATAATGCGAGCATGAGCAAGCGCACGGTCGGCAATGGAACCGCTCCACCGCATTGACGACAGTTGACGGCAGTTAAACACACACACACACACGCGCACACACACACACACACAGACACGCACACACACACGCACACATGCACAGATACACACACACACGCACGCACACACACACAGTGAGTGAGAGTGTCCGTAAGCACAGCGCGTACCTCTGGCGGAAGCGTGTTGAGGGAGATGAGTTTGTTGACTGCCTTCTTGAGGCCGGCTTCGTTTGTCGCCATGGCATTCACAATCGCCTTGCATGCCGCAGTCACCTACACAGAGCAACACGAACGGATGTGTGTGTGTGTGTGTGTGTGTGTGTGTGTGTGTGTGTGTGGATGTGTTTGAGATTACTCAGACGTCAATGGCAACGCACAATGCACAACGCGCGATCAAGCTTCACACAGCAAAACAAGACCACCGTTCGCTCTCTTCACACACACACACACACACACACACACACACACACACACACACACACACACACACACACACACACACATACATACATATCTCAGGAACAAACTCCACCACCGCCACCACCACCACAATCAACAACAACAAGCAATCTCCACGCACCCATCCCGATTCCTCCTTTGCAGGCACGACACGAATGTACTCACTGCCACGTCGTTGGGGACATCACGGGAGGTGGCGGCTGTGGTCCAATATGCGGCGGCCTCGTCCTGCTGCTTCCTGATGGCGGCGGCGGCAGCAGCGCGATGCATGGTGTTGGCAGTCATGCGCACGCCGTCGGCTTGGCCCGCGGTCACGTATGCCAGCAGCTGTCGGGTTGGAGGGAGGGGGGAATTGAGGTGAGGATGGCAGCGGTAGTGGATGTGATGGGATGTGTGGGAGAGGAAGGAATGTCAAGTTTGAGGTGAAGAGAGCAGGTATGTGATGTGCTGATGTATGATCGTGTGCTCTTGCATCTCACAGCGCACACACACGCACACACGCACGCACCCACCTTTGTGCACATGGAGGTGGTGCCAGTGCAGAGCATTGCGCGGGAAACGTGGTGGTAGCTCATGACGTTTGGCGAAAAGTGCCTGTCAACCACAAGCTGATCAAACATGGATTTGCTTTCTGCAATCGCACACACGCGCGCATACAACATAACACGACATGAGTGGGAAGAGTGAGTGGTGCCACAGATGGTAAAAACACACCCACACATACACACATACACACATACACACATACACATACATACACACACATACACACACATACATACACACACATACATACATACACACACATACATACACACATACAAGAGGGTAGGAGCAGCAAACACTCACGTCTAAACTCGCTCTTGTCGTTGAGGTGTGCACAGAGGTTGTTGTAGTCCGATGGTGTAGGGAATAGCCCATACTGTGGCTTGTTCTTCAGCATGTCGACCAATGTCTCGGTCTGGAACAGTCGCACCACGCACCAACACAACGGCACGCGTACATGTAAGAACGCGCGTGGACACAAGAACATGCCGACTCCAACCCGGTTTTGTGCAACTGCCTCAAATCTGCTCGCTCTCGTGGGCATGCTTGCTTGAGTATTTCTGTCCACACGCATGCTTGCTTGTTAGCTTGCTTGCTTATTAGCTTGCTGAACACTCACCTCGCCCATGTCGATGCACTTGTTGACCAGCGCAGAAGCAACACCAGTCTTGACGTGGATCCCATGATATCTGAACCTGCGTTGCAGACATTCACAAGCAGTGACAATGGAGGTGTCGTGTTGCTCCTGTGTGAGTCATGAGGGAGGATGCTGCCTTCAAACGACGACAAGACACTTGAAAAGGGACCAGAAACAAAGCCCGGAAAACGACCACTGAACCACACAACACGCACGCACGCACGCACGCACACGCACACACGCACACACGCACGCACACACACGCAGACACACAGAAGTTGGCTGGAGGTGTTTTCACTTACTCAAAGAGGCCCTTCTTCACTTCGTCCAGGTCCGACGGCGATTGACAAGCCTCGACCACCTGTTGTTCATGTCAAAGGCAGTGACAAGTGCAAGAGAGAGAGAGAGGACGCGTGTGCGTGTAATGCATGTGAGCCCATCAGCTCAATTGACAGTGCACCCCGCCCCTACCTTAGCAGCGAGCAGTAGACAAAGAGAGGCGCGCAAAGGGCGAAGTCAACAGCGCACCTCAGTCAACGCGGAGGAAGCCGGGATGGTGCCAAAGATGAACTTGTGTCCAATGTCTTCCGCAAGCACGGCTAACCACCCACAACACAAGTGTCAGCAGGTGAGTGCGATGACAAGCAACAACCGCAAGACTGCACCAAAGCCAACGCAGCTACAAGCAACAGCACAGCGCAGCACAGCGGAGCAGCCAGCATCACTGACTGCAAAAGCATTCGCATTACCACCAAGCATGACCACCAAGCACAAGCACACCAAGACGCACAAGCTTGGGAGCGCAGCACCCTCGTTGCCCGCAGCATGTTGGTGTTGGCAGCAACCCTTTTTGTGGTGTCGGATGACAGTCCGTCTGATGAAAAATGCACTTCATGGTGTTCAAACCAGTGTAACCGTCCAGCCGGCCAAACAACTGCTGCCACCATCATCCACGACGACAGTGATGGCGGTGTGGCTGCTGGTGCTGGTGGTGGTGCTGGTGGTGACGATGAAAGGGTCGTTGCTGTGTGTGGACGGACAGCACGCGCCACTGTCGAGCTGTGACGAGCAGTGCCGCTCCCGCAACGCCACCTTGGACATTGTCAGGGAAGCCTTCACGGTGAGTGAGACGCGTGTGACATGATGTGAAGCTGGCAGGCAAGCGTGCTGGTGCCTCAACAGCATA